CTTGGGACTGTGCATTATGAAGAAAAGCATTTCAACACTTTAAGTCCTGCTTAGTAGGCTCTCCTAGTCGGAAAATGGAAGACAGTGGTGCTGAGTGTGATATGAACTGTGGGTTACTTGATCAAAAGGAGCCAAAGGAGAAGAGTGTTAGTGTGTGACCTAGAGACCACTCCTGTGAAATCTTGGTGAAGAATGTGGCTGCTTTTTGCCCTTATCCAAAAAGTCTGCCTGAGGCTTAAGTGAAGAGTTCTATATTAATTCAATTGGCAGAGGAAATCTCAAAACAGCTTAGTACAGACTCTGCTGTGTGGTTGTTAGTGGTAACACTAAATGAAGATTTTTTTAATTAAATTTTTTTTCATTTTACATTCACAATTCCAGTTTCCCCTCCCTCACCTCCTTCCTCTCCCCTCCCCCATCTCACTCCCCATCCACTCCTCAGAGAGGATAAGGCCTCCCTTGGGGAGTCAACAAAGTCTGGCATACTAAGTTGAGGCAGGACCAAGCTCCTCCAGCTTGCATCAAGATTGAGCAAGGTACCCCACTATAGGGAATGTGCTCCAAATGAAAAAGAGCAAGGTGAGCAAGGAAAAATACAAAATATATAATTTGGGGAGAAAAGGAGCACCAGGAAGTAGAATGGAGTTAAGTCCTGTGTTCAAGGAGATAAATAGATTAAGAAATGGAATAAAGGAAAGCATGACCTCAGGGCAAGATCCCATCTGGCTAAGTTTCCAACTTGTGAAAAGGAATTAAAGAAAAACTTGAAGCCAGGTTTCATAGTGCATGCCTTTAATCCCAGCACTAAGAATGCAGAGGCAGGAAGATTTCTGAGTTTGATGTCAGTCTGATTCTACAGAACAAGTTCTAGCATAGCCAAGCTTAGGCAATGAAGGAAACCATGGAAAACAGAAAGCTGGTGAACATGTAATTGAACAAGGGGGGCATGTTCCAGCCCCAGCAAGCAGCAGAACTTGCCAGCTTTGGCCACATGCTTAGAGTCAAGGAACAAATAAGAAAAGCCACTGAGGCTAAGCTTTTTTCAGGGGTGTCTTTGGATGGAGGCCTAGGAGAGGGCATTGTGTGATGCTATGAAGGTGAAGCCTGGATTGCTTTAGAGATCCCAAGATGTTGGAAATGCCAGGGCCATAGAATACCTGCCAAGGAGAGCTGCTAACAGGGAGTGGAACTAGCCCAAGAGAAAGAAGTATATTGCAGACAACAAAGCTGAAAGGAATTGGAAATATAAAGTGTTTTGACATCAGACATGGAAAAGCAGAGTTTGAAGTTTGCCCAGCTGGTTTTCAGTCTTGCTTTGGCCCAGTATTTCCTCACTATTCTCCCTTCCCTACATTTTTGAATGGTATTGTATATCCTGTTCCATTATATGATGATAGTATGTGATCTGCTTTTTTTATTTTGATTTTACAGGGCATTACACTCCTAAGTTTTATGAATTCTTTTATATTTTGGATACCAGTTGTCTTAGTTAGGGTTTCTATTGCTGTGAAGAGACACTATGCATATGGAAACGCTTATAAATGAAAAACATTTGATTGGGTGGCTTACAGTTTCAGAGGTTTAGTCCATTATTATCATGGTGGACACGGCAACATGCAGGAACACATGGTGCTGGAGAAGGAGCTGAGATTGGGGAAGGTACTATATCTTGATCCCATAGGCAATAGGAAGTGATCTGAGGTATTGGGCATAGTGTAAGCATATATGAAACCTCAAAGCCCACCTCCACAGTGCCACACTTCTTCCAAAAGGCCATATCTACTCTAACAAAGCTACACCTCTCAATAGTGCCATTCCTTATGAGCTTATGGGGGTCAATTACATTCAAACTACCACATTATACTCCCTGGCCCTCATAAGCTTTTAATACTATAATTCAAAATGCATTTAGTCCAACTTCAAAAGTTGCATAGTCTATCACAGTCTCAACAATATTTTAAAGTATAACATTCAAAGTCTCTTCTGAGATTCATGCAATCTCTAACCAGAAGTAAAACAACTCAGTTTTGAAACTGGGCAACAGAGCTGAATAGAAATCTCACTTTAGAATACACCAGTGAGAAGTTGGCATAGCAAAGGACTGTCAGCAACAAATGCCATCAAGGAATTGAAAATTCAAAAGCTAGATACCAATGTACACCCTTCAGCAGAGCTTATTCCCAGGCCACCAACACCAAATGTAAGTGCGGTGAGAGATGACAGATGTACCATGCTATTTACTTTTGAAAATGAAAGATGGTACAGCCACTTTGGAGGACAGTTTCTTTCAAAGCTGTAAATAATCTTTGCCATGTGCCCAACATTTAACCTAAGGACAGTCATGTTAAGCATGCATTTCATTAACAACTATAGTCAAAGTATGGAAAATGCTAAATATGAACTAGACTACTGAAATAACATTTGGACTTATATTACTTAGATACAGGGTACAGTGTGATAATTATTAAGAGCAGAAAGTCAGTTTTATTGATATTAGTAACAGACAAATGCTTGTTTTCTTCGCAAAATACAGGATGAAGTAAATTGAGTCTATGAATACTGTTGAAAGGGTAAGCAAAAGCATATCATATAGGTAAGCAACCTACACACTGCAAGAATATTAAGAAGGGAATGTATTCTTCATGTAGAAACAGGCCTTATCAAATGGGTTCCCAAACATGATTTACCTGATCTGATAGAGACATTTTAAATAATTCTGTCAATAATGTGGTTGAATTTTCTTCAAGTAGTTTTTTACATGTACCATCTTTATATTTTTTTTTCTGTTTTTTCTTTTCTTTTTTTTGGTTTTTCGAGACAGGATTTCTCTGTGTAGCTTTGCGCCTGTCCTGGAACTCACTTGGTAGCCCAGGCTGGCCTCGAACTCACAGAGATCCGCCTGGCTCTGCCTCCCGAGCCATCTTTATATTTTTATCTAATCATCTTGTTCTTTCTTTTTCTAACCCTGCACTAGAATACCATCAGGGAAAATGTTTTTTACCTGAAGTGCCTGCTAAGTTTCAGGGGCTTAGAAAATACAGGGAGCATATTTAATGACTTCAAGTGTGTGGATGTCTTTCTGTATGCTGTGAATATGTGTTGCTCTGATTGGTTGATAAATAAAGCCATTTGGCCTATGGCAAGGCAGCTTAGAGGCAGGCAGGAAATCCAAACAGGCAGAAAGGAAGAGAAAGGAGAGGCAAGGGAGACACTGTGAGCTGCTGCTAGGAGAAGCAAGATGTAAAGGTATTGGTAAGCCACAAGCCACGTGGCAAAGTATAGATTTATAGAAATGGGTTAAATTAAGATGTAAGAGCTAGCTAGCAAGAAGCTTGCCATTGCCATAGTTTAAAAGTAATAAACCTATGTGTGTTTATTTGGGACCAAGTGGCTGTGGGACGCAGGTGGAAGAGATTCCAAAGGACCTGAAAAAACTTCTGGCTACATTCAAGTATTTTGAAAAAAATATAAATAGTACACAAATTTCTCTAATGTCTCATGATCCAGTTATTGAGTTAGAAGAAACTGCATGAAAATTAAATCTACATGTGAATTTCAGTTTCAAACTCACAAAGCTAAATTATCAAATACCAAAAGTGGAAGAATGCCTTTATTATGAAAGTTTCCAATATGCTATCTCATTTAATAGATGCAGATATTAAAATGTGGGTCAGTGAAGTTCTTTTCAGGTCACTAAATTTGCTACCAAACCATGCAAATTTCATGCTCACTTAACAGTCACAGACTTGAGACTCACAAACCATGTTTTAATATGTACAGTGACAGAAGTCTACTGCTGTAAAGGCTGTCATAGTCATTGGGGAGCAGGAATTTTAGAAACTCTTTCTCACATGTAACCAAGACTTCTATACCTTTGTATCAATTATTGATTGCTTGCTTTAACCGGTGTTTATACATGGCACATCTAGCAATTCTAGTCATGAAACAAGATAGTAAACAAATGGCAAAGCCATGGAGAAGTGAGGTAGTATGTCAGTTCAGCAAAGAACTTTTCATAAAGGTCATAAATTTAACACTTAACAAGCGTCATATATATATATATATATATATATAATATATATATACACACATATAATATGCCATGTATATGTAAGATATATACATATGAATATATATTAAATTATCATGGCCATATACATTACAAAAGCATGTATTACACAGAAAGTATATATTTTATCCTGAGTAAAAGAATGAATAAATTATATAAAATACTCAAAGTATTCAAAGTTGTTTAACTTCCATCTCCCTTTTGTTTATTTTCTACTTTGATTACATCCTAAACATTATATCCCACATGTTTTTGGCATGCAGCCCAAGTTCTACTGCTGTCTCTCAAAAAAACCAGTCTGCATGTTCTCAGGAGTGTTCTTGTGACTCTCCAAGTAAACTGCCTGTGCTCTCTCAGTTATTTCAAGATCCACTGAAGCTGCATGGTACCAGAATATTAAATGTATTCAATACAGTCATAAATTATAGCCAGTAGAATTAAGTTCAACATTCTAGACATGTTCTTATTAGGAAAAAGCTGCTGGGCCTATCCCTTGGCACTCAAGAAAGCATATTTCTCCCCATTGAAGTTTTAGCTGCACTTGATTTTCCAGTATTGATATCAATATGAGAAATTTTGTCATGTGTCCTTCATTCTGTATTTATTCACTTGAGGTTTGCTTTGGCTGATGATTTTCATCTCCATATTTGATCTATAACTATTTTATTGTTTTATTTTTAAAATAGATTATTTACATATGCTTATAATTTGTTTGGATCAAATCTATCACCTTTCTTTTCTCTCTAACGCTTCTCCTATCCTCTCCCCACTTTTCCATTCAAGTCATGATTGAGTGCTGTCACTTCGGCGTACTCTTCTTAAATATATTAAAGTGAAGTTTCTTTGAATTAGTGTTATAGTCTTTAACATATTCAGGAAGTGAAGTTAAGGTTTTGAGGGAAAGACATAAATGTGGAGGTATATTTCCTACCTATAAAAACCTGGTGGCACTTGCTCAACCAGGAAGTTCTTCTCCAGGTCTTGAAGGATGTCATTCAGCATTCGGACACGGCTGGGAGCTCTCTCCTGTGGGTCATTAGCAGGACGCATCTCATCTGACTGGAAGAGTTCAGCACTTTCCCTCAGGTGTGCTGCCATGTCAAGCAGGTGAGGGACACTGGGCTCATCACCTGGTGAAGAGAAATGAGGCCATCTTAGGGGACATTTCATCACAGGAGCCAAGCAGACATATTTCCATCTTGATTCTCTTTTATAAATCAGATAGACCCCTGATGAGAGAGTGGCCTATCATCAATAGTTCTGTCAGTTGCCTCTCCAAACCAAGGTTTATATGCTTCAGTTAAATTCTAATAACATATTTTTCTACCAAACATATTGTCCAAACTTGTGTTTATATTCTTTTACATTAAGTGAATGGCTACTCACTCATGACAGAAGGTCAGTACTGATGATGGGTATTACTATATTACAATCACTGAATTAAGCTTCATACACAATTATTTTATTAAATAATCACCAAGTGTTTTAGTTACATCATTTAAAAATTTCTAAGCCTTGTTTATTTTACACAAGATGAGATTAATTAAGGCTCACAAATTAATTAGGTCACAAATCATCAAGCAAGTAACAGGGTTGAATTGGAACCTTGATCTTGCTGGCTCAACAGTCCTTGCTCAATACAGTATTCCTGCATTTGAAGAAAAACAAGTAAAAGATACATGCATGGTGATGCATGCCTGCTTTGCCAGCATTTGGGAGATAGAGGCAGAAGTATCTTGAACTCAAGGTCATTCTTTTTTTTTTAAATGTTCTTTTATTTATTTATTTATTTATTTATTTATTTATTTATTTATTTATTTATTTATTATGGATACAGTATTCTGCCTGCATGTATTCCTGCAGGCCAGAAGAGGGCACCAGATCTCATTACAGTTGGTTGTGAGCCACCATGTGGTTGCTGGGATTGAACTCAGGACCTTTGGAAGAACAGTCAGTGCTCTTAACTGCTGAGCCATCTCTCCAGCCCCTCAAGGTCATTCTTGGTTACATAGAGAATATGAATCAACCAAGGCCACATCAGACACCATCAAAAGCAATAGATTTAAAAAAAAACATAAAAGAATGAAAAGGAAAGAATATCTCTTCTTATAATTAGATGTAAAATATGTCACTATATGGTATTACATGCCTTGTGGCTCTATTTTTTTTCAATAGAAGTTTTTCATAATGCATATTTGAAATGTATTTTTGACTTTACAATATACCAGAAATCATTACATATGCTGCTACATTTATTTTGTTTGTTTCTCAGATAACAGTTTTTTTGTTTATTTTTTCACTTGTTGGGCAGCTTATTAATAGTGTTAGCAAAGCATCCACAGGTCCACCCTTTGTCCAAGAGAAAAGTCATGTCTAGAACTACAGTTGATTTGGACCTTTGGACAAGCCTACCAGAGTCTGGTGTCATGTTCTCACCCCCAAGTATCTGTGTGATATTTGTAGCACGCCTGATCGTCTAAAACCTTAAGTGTCAAATAAGTATAATAACATTACTTACTGCATAGCTCTTTCATTGATGATCAAATGACCAAGCACTTCCCTCCAAGTAAGCAGATGTTATTTGAAACCATGTTTGAAAACATATCTGTTAGACTTTTACGAGAGAAGTTTCAATGATCATCTTCTATATACTCCATAATTATTATAGGACAATGGCTACTATCATTCTTAAGTGACTTGAGACAACTAATTCCAACAAAATCAACATATCAGTGCAGAGTTACTTCAAGTCAAATTGTTTCAGGAACATAGACATACAGTCTAGGTTTCTGTCACAGGAGTGTGGCACTGAGGGTGGCAGATGCAGCATCCTTCTAAGGTTTTCATTGTGGGGAGTCTTGGGCAGAAGAAAATAACCACAAAAAAATTCTCCTGTGGAAGTCCAAGATGGTCAGCTCCTCAGACACCTGGTATCTGTATAATTACAAACTTTCTGTGCATTTCCTTTCATTGTAGAGTCCAGGAATTTCCTTCATGTGCTAGTACACTTACTCTGCTCATTTAAAATTTAAGAAGTCCTATAAAAATAATGTGGTATGATGATAATTTATGAGAGAGATAGAGCTAATTCACAAAATATGACTCACAAAATCACTAACTGTTACTATCATGAATTTTAGAGTGTAGTTGAATGTGTACACTCAGTAAATGCTAAATGAACAGAGTGGATTCAATAAGGCCTGTTCATAAAATGTCCAAGGCAAACTAGAATCATGTGACAGAGATAATGTGACAAATCCTCCCATTTCTGTGTCTTTTCCCCCTCAGATAGAGGGGGGAAAGAACAAGAGAGGGAATGGGAGTGAATGCTATTAAACTATAAGCATATATAAAATGGTCAAATAATACATTTTTGTTCCATTTAATGAATGTGTGTTTAGGACAAGTTGTAGAAATCAGTTCTCTCCTTCAACCTGTGAACTTTGGGAACACAACTCAAGGCATCAGGCTTGGTAACAAGTGCCTTAACCTGCTGAGCCATCACACTGGCCTACATTTAAAAAAATTAAAACATATAATTCATTGTATAAAGTGTGTGAAAACGTTTACAGACTGGCTTAAAAGAAGAATCTGAACAAAACATAAAATTTTAAGTATTGTATGTTTACAGATGTTGTTAAGGTTTGTACAGAAGAAATATGAAGCTGAAGATAATTTTTAGATCCTTTCTCACAAATAATGATGTGGTCCATTCAACTGCCAGAGTCACCGTGTTTGGGCACTTTCTGTTTCACTGTGCATTTCACATTGATTAATTGTTGTGCTTGATTACCCAACAGATCATGAGGATAACATTTTATTCGTTTAGTTCCAAATAACTTAGTGGAATTTTAGAAAGACATGCTTTCTCTTAAAGTGTGATTATTCACCAAAGCTAATGAATAAAAAACTCAGATTATTTTTGCACAAAGAATAAAGGAGATGGATAAAGTATATTAGAATTCACTGAAACTGAAAGAGTGAGCAAAGAATAAAATAAGTTCAACATCTTTGAGATTCTTCCACTTAAGAAAGAAATATCTGTTCTGATCTACCATCCACTGCAGAATTGAAGATATTACTACAGAATCAAGTGAGACAAACTGTACCATTCTCTCTTATTTAGCTTTAAACGAATTTATCTTTTATGGTACTCCTGAGAACTGACAGCTTTCGGGACTACTTAGTTCCAGAAAAAAAAAAAAAGTGGCAACCTGCCTGACACACAGCAGCCATTACTTCCGGAGTCGGAGGTCAGGGATTGAGAAGCAGCTCCACTTGTAATGCTCACCCAATCTTTCCAAGGCATAAATTATGCTTCAAGGAATCTTAGCAGCCATCTCCCTGACAATCAATTAGAGCTTGTTATTACCTTTCAAATAGTCACAGAAAGAAACTCCCCTATCTCTCTTTGAAATTTTGTTGATCCCAGGTGAAGTAACCCTTCATGTTTTTTGGATCTGAATGAGATACAGTTAGCTGTATCACAGAAAGACATTTGTCTACTTAGTTATAGCAATTTTCATGGTACCTAAAATTACACCAGATGTGTCAATTAATGAAGGAACCACTACATTACCTAGTAATATCACAGAATCCAAACATTGGTATCATTTTTATCTCTTTGTGTCTGTTTCTCAGTTGAAAAGAAACTCATAAAGGAAAATACAATGTATTTTTCTCTATATATCTGGCTACTGGGGTAATAGCTATTCTACCATAATCATTTTAAAGAAAAGAAAACAACAATTGAATGTTGAGTTATAAGATAATGTCTTCTTTGAAATATATTGATTCATTACACAATGTTTACAAAATCATTCAGGGAGATATTTGGTATGTAACAGTCACCTATGATACTATTTTCTTTACTTTCTAGATTTAAACGATTTACCTGAAAAAATAGAAACATAAAAAAGAAGAAATTATTTTAAGGTAGTAATCAGTTAAGTTATTTAACATTAAATCAAAATATTCACCCACAGATCTTCTATAAACACTTTAAATTTCACTTAAGGCCTGGAATGTCAGAGAATGCAAAACTGCTGGAACCTATTATCAGTTCACCTTTAAAAGATAATATTTCCATTTGATGAAAAACTATGCCCAGAAACAAAAGACTTCTCAGAAAAAAGGTTAAGATTACCTTAAAGCTATATCCATGAGATCTACAAACCAATGATTTGATCTCAATAAAAAGATAACAGTGGTATCTACATAATTACTACAAATGTGGTCTGGAGTAAATTACTTAATGTCTGTCCTTGACCACCCTTAAGGAAAACAGTCAATTAATTTTCTAAATGTGTAGACCACTATAAATCAATTGCTTTTACTAGAATAGACAAATTAAATAAGCTATCTCCAACTTATTTTTGAGAGAGAGAAAAACAACAGTATTTTCACAGTTTTCTGAGTTTAACCTCAAAGATTTTCTCCCAAATACTTTCCAGATCTCTGTCCCCCAGTGTCACAGTACTCCCTGTTTACACATTAAGAAATCTCAGTTCATTCTGGGATGTCTGTGTCTGAAGCCATGTGTCCTCACCGAGGGCTGGCCTCATCAACCTCTGTGAAGAAAGAAAAGGATTGATGTGGGTGTAAAGGAATGCAAGATCAACCTTTAAAAATGATGGTCATGTCTTTACCTCTGGTGAAAAGCCAACCAATAATACATTTTTAGAGCTCTGTAGAAAATACTAATTTGTTTTAAATGTTGCTTGATATAGTACATAATATTTAAAACTGCCTACTAAAATTATGTATTCCAGATGTTTTAAGTTCTTCTACATTTTGAATGGAAGACTCTTGCATTTTCCATGCATCTCAACGTAAAATTCATGGACTTAGGAAGTTCTTAAGAAGTAATTATTATGACATTCATATGTCAATGCTAGGAAATAGGTAAAGGCAAATAAGATTAATAGTTATAATAATGTATGACTTAGTTAGAAATGAACATAATACTCATAAACATGCAGTGTCAATGTCATGTGAAATCATCGTATGTAAGGGCCACTGATGCCTTTGTGGATCATTTACCAAAAGGAAGAAAAATTTTGGAGACATATTTTGGGATTATTTAAAAACAGATTATGCCAAATGATTTTTGAAAGTTCTGGCACTTTCT